CCGGCGCCGCTGCGAATGCAGCCGCTGGCTTGGGCACAAGTGCTTACCCGAGGTTTGCTCCCACTCGCGGCGTGCCAGGGAACCCTGTGAGATTCCTTGCTCGCAGAGCCAGGCTTGGGCACGGCTCTCCCAACCCTGCCCCAGCCGTCAGCAGAACTGCTGAGATCTTGCTGCTGCCTTTTGGATGTGAGTCAGCTTGGACACCACTTCCTCCTCCCGCAGCAGGGAAGGAAGGTAGGGCAGAGGAATGTTACCATGTATTTTAACTGAAAGAAAAGTTTAATTATTTCGGAGTAGTCATGTAGAAGTGTATTGTGTTCTTATCCATGGAAGCTTTAATTCTATTTACTGTTAGTTGTTCTTATTTTAGTACCTAAACGATGAGTCTGCACAGAGATGTGCAGTCCCTGACATATAGGTCAAGAGTGAAAGAATATTTTGGAACCTGTTGCCTTAAGTGATCCATCCTTACATGTACCTTCTCTTGGTTGAGCTAGTTGTGATAAGCAGCCCTAGTGAGTATAGTTTCCATTAGCTAATGTATGGGATGGTTTGCCTTGATTAAAAAAAAAAAATAATTCCTGTGAAGTCTCATAAGTGAGAATGTCTTGAATTGGAAGAAATGGAAGTCCTTAATTTTGTGTGTGCGTAGTATCTTCCTGGAATGGAACATCTCTTGGGTATTAGTGGTGTCTGTGGAAGAGAACGGTTAAAGTCTGTTTGTGGTAGCATGGTTTAATGGGTTTTGAGATCCTTTTCTTTAAAGCTATTTTTTTCTCCAAATAGCATCTTTAAATGATCCGCTAAACTTTATCGGGTGACCTGGGGAGATACAGCCCGGCTCATTGGTAGTTGTGGTTAGCACTGTATATAAATGAATGATTTTGAGTCCTTATTCATTTATAGCAGACGTTGTGGATCTTCCTTGCTCTCCCTCATCTCATCTGTTACCAGGCCTTGCCCTAGTTTTTGGAGACCTCACACAAATGTGCTCCAAATGAAAAAGTTTCCATTCTCTCATTCTGGAGATGCCATTTCCTTGGCTCAGATGTCTGGGAACACCCTTTGCTCAATCCCTGTCTACAGGAATATAAGCACTTCCAAAAGTGCTAACTCTGCTCATTGAGCAACATAGTTGTTTGTGCATGCCTGACACTCTTTTCCATGGATCACATGTGTTTTTTTCTGCTGTAATGTACATGAACTGCCCCTGGGCATGGAGATATGGCCTGCTTTTAAACACACACTCTGTTGTTACCAAACGGTTACAGGGATAAGGTACTGAATATAGACCAGGCCCAATATAATAACAGATTTGCAAACCAGTGGTTACTGCAGGGGTCAAGGTCAAAAACAGATGCTGCCTTTATTAGTAGAATAATGTTATGACTCAGGACTACATAATGTGGTTTGAGGAGGAAAACTGGTTATAAAAACTTGCCTTAAGGTATTGCACTATTAGTTTAAAGCTGTAAGGTAGAAGCTGATTCTTTCCTAGTGTAAGGAAGAACAAGTTAGTGCAAGTACTTTGTATTTGCATGTTCAAACGCACCCAGAACTTGTCAAAACTACATCAGATAAAATCGGTCCATCTGAGAACAATGACAGTCTGTTCTCAAATACAAGTACCTTACGAAGCAGGGTGTGACAAGAGATGCATTTGTTCTCTGAGTTAAGATCTTTCTCTGCAAAGATTCTTGCAAAAACTCCCATTTTTTTTCTTTTGCCAGCTTATTGCTGATGGACGGTTGGTTGCTATAGCGCTGTTGTGTGCTGATTATATGGACCTTCCAGTTCCAGCTCTACGTGAGGGTGTGTCAGTTCTGCTCCTGGACTCTGTTCAAGTGTTGTGGTTTGGTTTTTTTTCCCAACAAGCCTGATTCAATGTGGTTTTCAGTTGATTTAGAACAAGAGTCTTGCAAAAAGCTGTTCAGTGATTGTTTTGTGGAAGATTGCACTGCAATTGCATTGCTTCAGCTTTTACTTCTGTTTTTTAGTTCTCTGTGACAAGCAAGACTGAAGTACTTCAGTTGCTCATCTTTGATTTTGGTTGTAATACTGGCAGAGTACAAAGGTCTCATTGTTAGGCACTTCATTTTATTATTAGGAAGGTCATAACTCAGTAATGTATCATCCCCCTCTAACTACCATGGTTAATTGTGCCAACAGCAGGTAGCAGCCTATTGCAGTGTCTGCAGCCTGGCTTTAAAGGGCTGGGTTGGATTTTGCTCTGATAAAGGTTTACTCTCAAATAAGCTGATGTGTACTGTGATTTTCTTTCTCAGTCTTATTTCCCCCCCCCCTAGGATCTTAACTTTTCCCTGAAATGAAGTTGCTTTTGTTACTTACTCCTAGGTTGCTTCAGAAGATGAAATGTTTTCTTTCTCTATTCTGAGTGAGGAAAGGTGTGATTACAGCAGTTATGCTACAAAAGCCATGTAATTGTTTTTCTGCATTTTATTCTTATAACGCTTGCTTTATCCACTAGAAGTAAGGATTTCTCTGCTTTGCTTTTGATGCTCAGGAGGTTTATAGGAGCTAAAACAGAAAATAAACATTTGTTTCAGAGTTTTAACCAGATCTCTGTTATTAAGAAACTATTTCAAATCTCTTGCTGGTTCTCTGAGCTCTTCATTCTTCAGATTGCTCATTGAGTGGTGTTTGGTTTGTCTGGAAAACTTGCTTTGGTGGCTAGTACTGCTTGCCTGAGAGAGCCCCAGTACCATCAGAAGATATAAAAAATAATGTCAAAAAGAGTTGGAAGGTCATACCCAGGACTGGCTGCACAATAGCTGGGAGTTGGCTCACAGGGCATGGTACTGGGGGAACCAGTGACAGCGTGGAAGTAAAGGGAGTGGCACCCAGTGAGGCAGTTTTGGTTCCAAGCTCAGTTATCTGTCAGTGGAACGTCACTGGTCCTGAGGTGTTGCTGTCCTTTTTCTCCTACCTCTCATCAAACCACCTCTTTTCTCTGTTTGGTAATTATATCTCTACAGCTTGATTGTAGAGTTCCTGAGAAACAAGCTTTAATTTCAACAGGCAAAATAATGTTTTCTGCAGTTACCAATGTGGATGACTAGAAGGTAATGTGAATAGCAATGTCTGTCCTTTCATTAGAGGAATTTGAGAGCAGAGTTTTGGGAACACATCAAGTCTTTTAAATACTGTTTCTGGCTTATAACCTATGAAAAAAAAATTCCTCCTTAGTTGAGAGACCCTTCTGTTAGAACAGGAATATAACTCTGATAAACTTCCCTGACCAGAAATCGGAGTTGAAAAAAAGTCAGTTGTTGTAACATCAGCGTATCACATCAATGTTCATTTCTAAAATGCGTATAATCTAACTCAGGGTTAGGTTTTTCCCTATTTTTCTTCATGTATCTTAGCAAGATGTTACGCGGGTTCTGGCAATGGAGCAGTGATATTGATTATCTTGCCTCGATGGCTCTTACTCTTGGAGCTGTCACATTAAGAGAGTCCTTGTTACCTGACAATCATATTACTAACTGGTGTTTGTAGGTTGTCCTGTGGTTCTTATGACTGGGGGCCGCTACTAAACCATGTGAGATTTGATCCACGATTAGAGATTGAACAGTATTATGATTTTATAAAATGTCTGCATGGATACAAATAGTTTAGTTGTATTGCGTGAATACTTGAATAGTTGAACATCAGTTCCTACTACTTGTAGCTGCTTTTTGGCTTTGAGCTGGACAAGGCTATGTCTCTGCACAGTTTTCCTGGTACTGAGTTGTAGGCTTAGTTGATTCTGTTTCTAGGGTAGAGATTCTACAGTTCCTCAGATTAAGTATTTAAAATGCAGAAGAGAATTTTTTTAAGGAGTAAAAATATATATATATATTTACTGTACGGTAGAATGAAGTCCTTTCACTGTTCCATTATTAATGGTGGTGTGGCTTGGAAATTAAATCTGCTTTCTTGCTTGGGATTAGCAGAGTCATTGGGCTATGTCACTTTCAGTGCTGCAGTGTTTCAGGACTATATAACGTGCTGATGTAATCGTAAATACATTTAAGGCTTATTTATTTTCTCTTCCTCCAGCATTCTTTCAAGATGTCTACTGTCCATGAAATTTTAAGCAAGCTCAGCCTTGAAGGAGATGTAAGTATTATCTAAACAAGAAAGGTTTGTTTTCCTTAAATGCTACCTCTTGATTCTTTTACCAGACTAAATATTGTATAATTGTGCCAAGCTGTACACTTTGCGAGATTCCACACCTCTCTTCTAGTGAAGCTTAAGTTTACTAAAAATCAGCAGTGATCAGTTTTCAGCCACAAAGCAGCTGTATACCACAGGACAATTATAGGAGTTGACTAGATTTAATGACGGTACTTCTAACTGGCCAGCAGCACAAGCAGTACTCATGTGCTGGGCCATGTGAAAGAGATCACTGGACAAACTACCTAGTTTGCACCTCTGGTCCCCCTTGCTTCCAAAGGAACAAGTGAGTTAAGGATGATAAGAGAAGTTGGAAATGTGTTTGGAAACTTTGAGTTTTCTTTTTTTTTTTTTAAATTAAATAATGGGAGTTAAAATATTTGGGATCTTATTCCTGTAATGATTGTTAACAAAAACCAAACTATCTCTTGAAAAAACTTACTTTCTCAAACTTATTTTCTCATTTTCTGTTTTGAAAAGCAAACAATCTGTTTTGATTGTTTATTTTCTACTACATCTGTACTTGCCTGATTGTTTTATTGACATATCAAAAAGCCACATTCTCTTGGTTTGATTTCTTATGTTGCACCGTTACATGGTAGGATTGCCAGTGTAGCGTCAGGACATCATGCCATGAATTTGTAATTCTGTGATTGTCACTGAAGAGGAAGTAAATCCTATCCATGCATCATTTCATCATGTTGCTTAGACACTTGCTGTATTTTTAAATTTGATAGCCACTAACTCCAGATCTGAGCTCAGTACAAGCCAACTTTTTGCCTATTTCTGTTACTTGTTGCAAAATAAGTTGCACCATATGATCTTTGTGAAAGAGCTGTTGCAAAGAACAGGCTAGTGCGCTGTAGGTAAGTAGCAAAGCTGGTATTGCACTGCAAAAGCAGTCAACTCTTCAGATATCTTGGCCATATTTGTTTCAACAGAGAATTACTTTTGGATTAATATTTGAGCAGAAGGGCAGAAGTATTTCTTCCATGATGTTTGTGAGTAGTTGCAAAAGTCCAATTCTGCTACTGTTCCATGCCAACGTTTTCATCAGAAATCCTGCCATAGAGTGCAAGAAGTACCAGGCAGCTGGTTTGTTCTGTAGATCCTAAGTTGGAAGCCAGAATTACTGAGTATCTAGTTTGCATAAAGGATTTGCCCAGCTGCCCTAAGCAATGATTCAATAAGTTAATTGATGTTAAACACAGTGTTTCAACCACTTTTTTTTTTTAACCTTGAAGGTATAGGATAGTTGCAGCAGAGCCCAAGTCCTGTCTTGTGCAATGAGGAATTTGTGTGTTCTGCATCAGTGGTATTGATTTGTTTCAAGTGGAACAAACTGCCTTTATTAACTGTGCTGCTTGCATCATCCTGTTAATATCTTCTTCCTCTAAGGAAAGAAGGGAGTTGAGCTGAAGTTAATCTGTGCTTGCAATTTCTGCATCTATCTGTAAAAGCACATAGAAAGATTCTGTAACAAACATCTTGCTGCTATACTTCATTATGTGTTCTGTCCTTGCAGTGGAAATTGGAAGCCTGTATTCTAGTCAAGACTTTATAGCTTACTTGCCAGATGATGTCAAGTTACTCAGTTGTCAAACATGACTCATGACTTTTTTGAGGACAGGGTATACCAGAATGTAGGTATCTTGAAAAGGTCCCTGGTGTTTTCAGAAGAAATTAAGTCTTTTCAGCTTTCCTGTTAGCGATATATGCTTCTCTCTCATACAATAGGATTGTATTCACCAGTAATGTAAACCAGTTGGAGGACTTTTGAAGTACGCTAAATATGTGGTGAGAAAAAAACCCCTTTAATGCATGCATTGGATGGAAGGACAGAGGAAAAGGTTGCTCCCAAATTGCAAATATGCTATGTATTTTCTCAGTGTATTATTATCTTACAGTAAAATACTCCGTCCAAATAACTCCGAAAATACTTAGAGCTGAGTGGAAGGAGAGGTACCCAACTCTGCTCAGCTCACCAGGTGACTTACTTCAGATCATCCAGTAGTGCTGGGTAATTAGATAGAAGTGCCACATGATTGTGTATGCTGCTGAGCTTTGGTTTAGGAATCTTCCAGGCACACAGATCTCTCTGAGGCTGTTGCACATCTCTGTTTACTGTTTGTGTTAGCAATTTGATCTGCTAACAGGAAAGGCTGTGTTTTGTGGTATGGCGATGGGCCAGACTGAGGCACTTTGCTAGATTGGCTTGATGGTAAGAGACAAAAGAACAAATGGTTCAGTTTGAGTGCTTTTTTGACTTTGCATCTCTACAGCATAACACAGACTGTCTAAAGAAGGCACAGCGGTTGCCGCCAAAGGAATCTGTTCAGGACGGTGTGACCATCAATTTAGGTCTCTAAATAAAACAGCAGTGTGGGATTTGTGAATGTTTCTCAGCTGTTTATATGAAAATCTCTGGTTTAGCTTAACCTGCCCATGGGAGGTGAAACAAGCTAAACTGTTAGCTTGCTCTGAAGCAGCTGAGAGGAGTTGATTCGCTATTCCAGTGAACTGTTTGAAACTGTAATTCTCAGGGCAGTAATAAACAGCTGATAAAATCTGGTGACTTTAAAATGTTGCAGCTGTTTACTAAGTGAACTTACCTGCAAGCCTTCTTAGCCGACGTAATTTGAAGTGTCGTTTGGTTTTGTTAGCCTTGTGCTGCCTAAACTAAGTATCTGCAGAGATAGAGTTTCAAAAGGAGGTTGTGTGTAACTTCTGCTTTCTAGAACTATAGGCTTAAAATTTTTGTGTGGGTTGTGAAAAACAGGGAAATAAATTTGGTCTTTTGAGGCCAGTACCGAATATGAGACAGACGCGAGTTGGGGAACAAATGGTAATCATTTATTTACAGCAACATTTACAGGTTCTTTTGGATTGCTGGTGATAAATTGAAAAGCTACAGGTATGCTAAAGGTTGTATAGCTAATATAATAGCAACAACACACTATGAAACACAAACAACAACAACTTGCCTGAAGTAAGCCCAGCCTCCTGGCAAATAAACAAGCCCGTTGAACAGAAATACAGTGGAGCAAAACCAAGAATACACTCAAGGAGGCCTAGAAATGAACCTGAGGAAAAATATCAAATACACTAAGGGAGTATGAACCTGAGGAGGAAGTATATCACTTAGTGTTAGCTGAGGTAAATAATCTTACTCACAAGGTGTCCCGAGTGGGGGGGATGGAGAAGGAGCAAATTCGTCAATTTGTCCAGTCATTGGTAGGGTTCTGAGTTCATCCAGTCCCCGTTCTTGAGCTGAAATTGGGGTGATACTTAAACTTTTACATGTTCTTGAGCTGAAATTGGGGTGATACTTATACTCAAACTTTTACATTACATCACCAAGGCATATGTGCAGGTGGGGATGACTATAGACAGTCATCACTTATGTTAATGTCACAAAGTCCTTTAATTCACACCTGCATGGGTAGAGGTAATGGCTCCTTTTGTTTGGGGTGGAAAGAAATGGGGGACTGGGACCACGAGGCCTCCACCTCATCTCACACTCCTCTAGACATCTGGATAACACCAGACATTGATCCAGTGATGGTTGCCACCTTGCCCAGTGCTGAGTTTCATGTTTCCAGGCATGCAGCTACATGGTGTACATGACTTGGACTTTGTGACTAACTTTGTTCTCTCTCTACAGTGTGCTACCTTTGAAGCCTGTGAGATAGGGCACTAAACTGTTGACTTATTCATTCTTAATCTTCCATCTCCCTCTGCTTTTTTTTTAAATTATAGCCGATAATCCAGAGTAAAGTATTGGAAATCTAAAATACTTCAGAATACTTTCATGGAATATACTTAAACTTTCCTTGAATTAGCATTCTGTAGTGCATTTTCTTCAGACTTAGCCAGAAAAGTCTAGATTTTAGAAGACTGAGGTTTAGTAAGTAAACTTGGAATGCATTAGGTTTTTGCTGCAATAATATGTAATATTTATTTGTATATATTCTTTGTTATAATAAGCATGGCTGTGAACGGATTCCTGGACAATACACAGCAGGAGAACAGAGCTTAGTGGCTCTTATCAGAATTCTATTTTTGCAGATACCCAATGGTAGTGCTTGTATTAAAAAAAATTGGCTAAATACCAATTAACCAAGTGGAATGTGTTTTATTAACTGCAGAGAGAACAGGATTACATTATTCACTTTGACATTGTTTGTGTTCTTTTTATTCTAGCATTCTCTGCCACCAAGTGCATATGCCACAGTTAAGGCCTACTCCAATTTTGATGCTGACCGGGATGCTGCAGCCCTGGAAACAGCCATCAAGACCAAAGGTGAGGCACATGGGGTATGGCATTGATTCTACTTGTAGGATAGAATGCTGGTGTGCCAACATAAAATAAAATAAAAATAAAATGTACTGTGTCTCAAGACATATATTTTAACATCCCTACTCTAGGATATCTATTTTAGGTGGCGTTGGATTTCTCAGACTTCACTGATGAAATCCTGACAGTTAGATTTTGAACTCTGCAAATGCATGCTTTAGAATATGCTTTTGCAGTTTGCCAGAAGTTGTGGAGGTGATTGCTGAAAATGTCTGCTTTTTTTTCTCTTGACTCATCAGTACTTCAAATTCTACTACTTTTCTGCCACCAAGAATGAAATGTCAGCTTCTATGGCAGTGATTTGGGACCAAGCTCTGAATCATGGTTTGCTACTGGATTGTTGGATTGGACATTTCTTCTTTCAGCTCACCAGACTCTGCTGAATAGGGATGGTTTGAACATTTTCTCCTGCGTTTTGAACAAAATGCTCATGTATCTTGTATTAATTGGGGCTCGAAGAAAATCCTAGAAACAACAGAATCTAGTTTCTGAAATGATGTCGCAGTATTTCAGGGGTAGGGCAGTGTGAGGGTCCTGTGCTTCTCTGAGCCAGGCTCTCAGGCTTCCATCTCCTTATGTCAGTGCCAGGATCCACCACTTCCACTGACTGGTAGGACACTGTGGTAGAGCAGGGGAGAGATGAAGCTGCGTGGAGAAGCCTGGTATACTGAAGCAATCAGGAGTACAGAGTATGAACTACAGCTCTGGAGTAGTATCTTGGTATTCCCAGGGCAGTGATCCTCTGTCTTTGTCCTGCTCTGTAACAAAGGGTGTGCCACACTTTCCAGCCTTCCTCCAGGCCAGAGAAGCCACAGCTGGGTGTAGCTGGAGCTGCCAAGTCTTTTGTCTGTATGTCAGGAAATTTAAAAGCTAAAGAGTTTCTCATCAGACAGAAATGCAGAGTCTTTCAACAGTGCCAACAAAGCATGTTTCATTTGCTATAAAATGTAAAATATTGCCACTCCCTAACAAGCATGAGGCTTGCTTTTGCAAGGTTTCTTGATTTAATCGGAGTAATCCATTATCTGCTCATTGAAGTAGGTTCACTTCCAATTTTGAATCATTTTATGGTTTGTTTTTGTTTAAAAATGTCTGCTCATTGAAGTAGGTTCACTTTCAATTTTTAATCATTTTATGGTTTGTTTTTGTTTAAAAATAACCTCTTGCAAGAGAGGGATAAATGTTTGGCAGAAGATGCTTTGTGCGTATGTAGAGTTTTGTCTAGTCTTAATGATTTTTTTTTTACAGCTCTGACTATAGGACAAATCGGAACATGTCAAATATACCAGCAGACTTTCAGCATAGGTACAATTTACACATTTTAACATTCAAGCTGTTAATTAATGCAAAAGGAAATCACGGTATCCTAGGCAGTACAAAAGCTTTTCCAGTCAGGAAATTGTCTAGTATTAATGATTTTTTTTACAGCTCTTGTCTATAGGACAAATCGGAACATGTCAAATATACCAGCAGACTTTCAGCATAGGTACAATTTACACATTTTAACATTCAAGCTGTTAATTAATGCAAAAGGAAATCACGGTATCCTAGGCAGTACAAAAGCTTTTCCAGTCAGGAAAGTTAAGCTCATGTCATTTTTTTCACTTTCTTCCAGCAAAGGAGCTGGAAGCTTGTTTGTAGCGTTGAGCTTATCTCTGCTTATTAGCTTGTTATCCAGGAGCTTTTTTGGGAAGGTGGCTTTAAAGGGGAGAAACTCTTCATGCTTTTTTAATACTGAATCTTTCACCATAAAGACTCTCTCAAAGTATTCCTGGAAAAAATAAAGAACAAGAATGTTAGGACCCTTCTTCCAGGTACTGTTTCCTTGCACTTCAAATTCTTGGTTACAGGATATTTTCATCTGCTAGAAAATTTGCTAAGATCTGAATTCTCTAAAATATATGTGGGTTTTTTCCAAATGAAAAATCTCAATCATGCAGACAAGAATTGGTTGTCTACAAACAGTGATGTAAACAGCTGCACAGGGAAACGCTTCTGCAAGAAAATGTTTTAAAATATTTTGGGGAAATATCTTCATAGTTTCTGAGTTAAAAATACAGCACTTATAACGAACATATAGTACATAACCACAGCAGCTACGTTTTTCCTCGGATGTATCACCGATTCTCTAGCAATTAGATGTTCACGTCGTATCTGGAAGGTAGAAAGAAGCAATGTTGGTTATCATAGAATTGTAAATGTCTTGGTCATCTTGTTTTAAGACTGAGAGATGTATCAGGTTATAAATACATATGCAAGCTCTTTCTGTGGCTGACTTGGTCATTTTCAAAAAAACATGATTAGAAGAGCCAAGCACTTTGGGGCTTTATACAAGATAAAGGACTCCTGGTATCTGAAACCCATGCTGCTTTGTTTTGAAAAATCCAGGTCTTTACGTGCTGTAATGGGCCTGTATTTCGTAATTATCAAAGTAGTCTATCTAATGATTCATTCATCTCTTTCCAAGTAATGCAAATTCCCTGAATCAGTCATGAATTTCCATTTTGGTGATTGTATGTAAAATGGGTATAACTTATTTTACTGGTTGAACAACTGCAGTATATTTGTTTTAGGCCAGAGTGTCTGACTGTTCTGCTCTATATAATATCTAAATATTCCAGCATTCATTCACGCTCTTCAGATTAATTTCTCAGAGGTTAGTCATCTATTTATCTATTATGGGATCTGTGAGAAGTACTGTGATGTGCTTATTTGGGCTTAGACGTATATCTGCAAAACCTCTACCGCACAAATATATTGTGCAGCCTTATCCTGGACTTTGAGTAGAGCTGAATTAAATGCAGGGGTTTTAAATATATCCAACAGCCTAGAAAGTGAGATGTACAAAACTGGCTCTAGACGATGTAAAACCAGTCTGTAGTTAGCAATAGTTCAACGTAGAGTCTGTGTAATGCAAATAAATTCTTACAGTTCTGGCCTGTTCCTTTTGTAATAAATGTCATTGCTATGCCAGTTTCATTTTTATGCTCTTTAGTTTTTCTGAAGCAGTGTCTTAGCGTGTGCTTTGTAAATGTTGACTTTTTGCTGTGTAGTGTAAGAGGTTATTTAATTTCTGTATAATGCTCCATTGGGCCTGTGTATAGATTAGCTCGAGTATATGAGCCTAAATAGAAGAGAGTAACTAGAAGAGTACTAATAGAGCATATGTTAGGTTTCCTATTAATCCTTTGTAGGAAGGAAGACTGCTGAAGTGTCTCCTTTCTGTTTCAGTTGTTCCCTAGCATTTTCTGACTTTGTGTCTCAAATACTTTAAACAATTTTATTGTCAGACTAGGTTGTGAATAGTTAATTACTTGCAACCGTAACCTTGTGTTGAGGTCTCATGGTATACATTTTTATTTCACCACTGACAGACTTCAAATACAGGTTTGTTGTAGGAAAGTGGTTAGAACACACATCTATAATAAATTAATTACATCCAGAAACTGTTAAAACAATGATGAGGTGTAAACCATAAAAGGGCTCTTATGTAAGATTGAATTCACTGTTGAATTCAACATGGCCAAACCTCTTAACAGAGTTTTTAATGTTAATGAAGTAAATGTTTAGAAGAAATCTTCTGGCGTGGCGGTGGGGGAGGATCGTGTCTGAAATGCACCAAACTGCATCGGTCACATATTCAAAATACTAATAGTATCAGTGAAGAAATATCTCATTGCAACATGGTTTGGGTTTGGTGAAATCTTGCCAAGCAAAACAGTAGAGCTGAAATGATGATCTTACTTTATCTAAATTTTTCCCTTTGATTCCAGTGGAATCAGGGTTTTATCCAAGAGAAATAAGGTACTGCTGATCATGAGCTCAGTCAAATAGTCCTAGGACTGTTGGTACCAGACAGACGATGGTGTTGAGGTCTCACTAGGGCTAGCCACATACATCTCCCACTAATGATTTGAGACTAGCTGCAATCCCATGTCATTCATTCATATAGACTGATGATCTCTATGCTACCTAAGTGCTGTTAGGACAGAAAAAGCTTCTGGTATTCTGTCCATGGTGTCTTTGAAAATGAAATTTAAGAGAACAGACTTCTAGCGAATGAGCTGAATGAATTTATACCAGCTCTTGCAAGATGAAAGAATGTTAGCTCTCTTCTCACCTTGTTCTGGAAAGTTAAGTGACTGTTCATCTAATCCATTTTGTTCAGAACAATGCTGGTACTGTTTTGGCTGACGGAAGTTCAAGTACAGTGTCTTTTAAACCGAAAAATTCTAACTGATCGTTTTGGTTATGTTTATTTCCTCTTTCTTTTCCTGATTGAGCCATAACACTGTGACCTTACCAATGCAACAATTGCCACTCTTAGAAGAAAAGTTGTTACTAATCAGAGCAGATATTTTTAAAGATCTACTTCCCCCTCCTCCCCTCAGCACATTTCCATCTGCAATGAATTTTCTTGTTTAAAAAAAAAAATAAATAGTGAGCCACAATGTTTAATTTTCAGTTGCTCATTGATACAAATATACTGATAAAATCTGCCCAGCCAGAATAAGTTTGAAAATAAACTTTTGTTTAATTTTCCTGAAACTTCCAGAGATTTTAATGAACAGTAAAGAAAAATGTTGGAGCTGCTCTCCTGCCTCACCCCACCTCAGCAGATATGAGTCAGCGTCCTGTCTGTGCAGCATGATTCCCAAGTGTGAAGTACAAGCACTTATTTTCCATTAAATGCCAGAGCAATGAGTTAGCTTCCTATTTCCATCCACAAAGCATACAAATAAGACACTTGGATGCAGTCATTTGTGGGCTTCTAATCTGTCACATTTGTGATGAAACTTGAAAGTGTCATTTGCTGTTTTTGAATGCAAAGAATGGTTTAAATTCTAAAATTTATTAAAAAGCTTAAGATGCTGGCTTATGCTGTGACCCTGCAACAGCTGAAAGGCCCAATGTCTGTGTGGCCGCTTCTGGACCAGGAGAATTTGTTTTCTTTTATAAAATGGGAACACTTTAAAATGTGCAGCACAGATCATGGCTGAAATATACAGTCAGCATGTTTTCAAACAAGGACTTATAACTAAGACATATGATGCTTTCTAGGGCCTTTTGACTTCTGCAGGACAAGCATGTGTGAATTAGAGCACTGATCTAGGTCTGCCTCAGAATAAACTAAGGACATGAGGCTATCAAGTACAGTATTTCATAATGAAAAATGTAGTCCTCACTACAGGAGAAAATGTTGGATTTGAGTCATAATTTCAGATTCTGTAGCTAGGGGCTAAAAGGTCTTTTGCAACATTCACACTTTATATGAATAATTTTATAATATCTGTTGCAGTCCTTTGTTTCAAGTTTCTCTGAGGCTGCTTTGGGTAATAAGGAAAATAAATGTAGATGGATTCTGGCAGGGATCAGAGTTCTGCTAGTAGCCGCTAATCCAGTCCTTACTTTCTGTTTCTTATCAAAAAATCATCATTTACACTGATCTGTGTGCAGATGTGAAAGAAGCTATTCATATTACTCGGAGAGACCAGAGTTGTAACTTGGGGCTTGTTTCTACTTCTAGATTACAGCCACTTATTTGCTTCAAAACCTGGCATGCAGCTCACCAAAAAAAATAACTAGTTATACATCATCTTTCTGTTGCACATCTAATATGGTGCATATTTTTCTGCAATATTTAGAAATAGTTTTATCTCTTCTAAGATTCGTCCAGTCTGGAAATAGTCCAAACCAAATGGTCACACAGCACAGCTATAGGCTAGCTTGATACTTGAGCATTACAATGAGAGCTGTTCTAGCTCTATCCTCTAGCTGTTGTAGCTGTCTCCTCCATCCATTTATAAGCTATGCTAACTCTTCTGTGCAGAAGACTTTATCCAGACATTACTTTCAGCTGTGCTGTTATTCTCCGACTATGTCTGAATGGCATCTCCAGACAGCTTTGGTTAACCAGTTATGGACATGAAATGCAAACCGACATTTTACTTAGGGGCTAGATTCAGAAATATAGAGAAAGTTGGGGAAGGGGACTGAAATTTTTTCACTTGTATCCTTTTACAAAGCATTCTAAGAAAAATATTAAGTGTCCTACAAAAACATAGTTGTGTTTGTTATTTTAAGCCAAGTAAGAAAATCAAATTCAAAAATATATTTTACGTGAGCAATCTAGTGTGTCCTCACCCAGGCCTTTTGACATTTCAACTACCTACCATTTGATTAATTAACTAATTAGATTAATTACACCTGGACTGACCTTTTCAGATGTGTTTAGATACATTCAATGTCCATGTGTACCACACTATTTTTCTTATTCGTTGTGCCGTATCTCCCTCCCCCCCCCATCCCCAGCTGCTCTCTATCTGTTGCTGACAATTCATTTGTTTTACCTTGTGGCAGGGGAGCTTGCGTTTCTAAACATTTTCCTTTGAGTAACCAAGACAGCTTCTTGCAAAGGCAGTTTCTGTAAGCTATGATAGTAAGAGAAAGCATTTAATGTGACTTTAATGCTTAGTCTAGGGAATATAAATACAGCTTGTTTGGCTTTTTTCTGTTGATGTGAATAAATGAAAGACAGCTGTCCTTGCAGAGAATGCTTTGAGAGACATGGATGTTTGCAGCACATGGTAGTTCTGTCAGTTGGGTTAGAATCCTATCACACAATACTGAGATAAGACAGATGCTCCGGGTTTGTTTTAAGAGCCTCCAGTCCAACCAGGCTCTGGGATAATTCTTGAGTTGCCAACACCAAGCTGCAGATAAGTACTGTGATCAGAGGAAGAACTGTGCCAGTCCAAACAATGCAAGTTCAGGTACATCCAGTTTGAAAGCAGTAAGTGAAATGGGGAAAACAAGAGGGAATCTCAAGTCCAAATTAGCATCAGTAGGCAGGAGCAAGTGGAAAAGTCACAAGATACTGCCTGTGTTGGAAAGAACATAGAGTAGCAAATAGCTGTATCTAGGAAATAACATCTGGAAATCCTGTTTCCTTTACAACATAAAGGCTTTTTCTCTATGTGCAGTGACCTGCATTGATGATCCCTACAGGATTTAAAGCTGTGGTATGCATAGGTTCTATTGACTCGCAGTGTGTCTAACCCTAGATGCATGCTTTGGCTTTTAACTTACAATAAATCTCAATGATCTCCTTGCATTCAGCCTGCACTTAAATATAACTGCAGGAATTTGGAAAACTTCACTTAAAACTAAACCTTTACTGATAAGTAGTTCACTTACTTAGATAGGTTGGGAGTTTGAGCATCCAAGTCCTCTAGGCACGCTACTTAAAACTCAGCATGGATCTTCAAATTATATTTAAAGGAGGAGGAAAAAAAAAAAGGTAGCACATGCATAGCTCTTCCAAAAAACCCTTCTGCCTTCTAAGCTGCTGAAAGAATAAAATACACTGTTTTATTTTCCCATTTTTGTGTTTGGAGTGATAGTTAAGTGATTGTAGGTTAAGTAGAAGATACAACTGCTTTATTAAGAAGCCCTGATTGAGAACACTCTACCAAAATGACAGGGTGGGCTTTAGTAAGTACATTCATATCAGTTTTAAAGCCTGTTTTCTTGAGCAACTTCCTTTGCAGAATACTGAGTGACTGAACACAGATACACAGACACACAAGTGAAGCAGAAAACAGAAGTGGCAGAACTGGTCACAAACTAGTCTTTGTTGATGCTTGTGTGCACAGAGATCTGCATCACATCAAAAATTTGGGTTGTAAGGGGTTGCCCTTTCTCCAAGGCCATGACATGACATACCAACTAATGAGAGCTGTTGAGCTGTTTTGTGTGTCAGAGAACATGTTAATACAAAGAGGACAGTAACAAGACAGCTGCTTTAACTCTTTGTCTTATGTCTTTGTAGGTGTGGATGAGGTCACCATCATCAACATCCTGACAAACCGCAGCAATGTACAGAGGCAGGATATTGCTTTTGCCTACCAGAGGAGAACCAAAAAGGTAGCAAAACCTTAAGAAATACCAAGACTATTTTTGTTGTAGACAGTTAGATTTTTCAGGGCTTGCACATTTCACAGTTGACTGGGTATAAACTGGAGATATGTATTATTTGGCTTATCTTTTAAGTGAAATTAAGGATGTGTTTACTTTGTCCATGCCATTAAGGTTGAGGACTGGTGGAGCTTCCAAATGTGTTGAGTATGTACAACTGGGACTGACATCTGTTGGAGATGGAGGTTTCCTAGCACCTCCAGAAATCACAATGGCTGACAAAGGCCAGCCAGCCACAGGATTACCTAGTGAAATATGCTAAACAGTATTGAAAAGCCATTGGTGTGAAATGCCTCATTTGAAGAAAAAGATGAAAGGCGGGTGCTTTAGGGAATTGATTTCTTTTGTTGTTTTTGGTTTTGTTGTTGGTTGTGTTTTTTTGTTAAGGGAACTTGTCATAAGGAAAGAGTTCTGTTTCTGTTCACAGAGCTCTCTTAAATGAGAAGCAACTACAGTCAGTTGTGCTATGAATGCTGCAGTTGTGGAACAAAGCAATATAATGAGTTGAACTATCACTAGATATTATCCTGTCAGAAATACTTTAGGTACTGATCTGTCCTAGTTTAGGGCTGGTCTGGCCACTAAATGCTTGACTGACGCTCTCTATTAACCCCTCTCCCTTCCCCAGAAGAGGAAGAGAAAGAGAGTAAGTGAGAGAGACTTAAAGGTTGGAAAAAAAAGAAACTAACATGTTTAATGAAAAAATAATACTGCTACTACAGTATAATCATGTAAATAGGAAAAAATAATGAAATATATACAAATATGTACAAATGTATATATAAAACCAATAGAAAATCCTCCCCTCACCCCCTGTCTCCCCCAATGACAATTAAGTAACTAGAGGCTCTGTGGAGCAGGGCACTGGAAAAGTCCCAGACTGGATCTAGCAGTAGATGAGAACAGGATGCAGGAGCTGGGTTCAGGAATAAACAGATCATGATCAGAGGCAGATGACCTGGCAGGGTTCTGCTCAGACTTCAGCCATTGCAGGAGATGAAAGAAGAGAAGAGCAAAGGGCAGAGAGGCAAGACCCTCGTGAACCCTCGGCTGTTTACTGAGTATGACGTGTGTGGGATGGAATACCTGGTTGGTCAGTTTTGAGTCATCTGTCCTGTCTGCTCCTCCCCACAGGTGCAAATACAGCACCCATGGTGAGACAGCGGCCTTTCCACTGAGCTGAAAAAGAAAATCACTAAATAGACAATTAGTTCTATTTAGCTCAAACCAGGACTGCTCTATCGATGGACAGAAATCTGTAAAATGTGTTCAGAATTCTGCATAGTAAGGTTTTCTATTTGGAAAATCTGTTCTCTTGACTTTTGAAGTTTTGAAGAACTGTAATTGAAGTTTTATGCCTATGGAAAAAAGAGGGAACTTGTATAGAGTTAGGATTATGATGAATTTATCTCTTTCAGGTTTGCCAGACTGCAGTAGTCGTCCAATAGCAGCCCAGAATGCTCATCTGAAACCAAATGTAAATCTAGAGTTGAATTTTGGAAATCCACCAGGTTTTATGCGTGGCTGATACAGGCATTTGCAGATGCATGCACGTGTGCACACAGCTGCACCCTGGCCCAGGGCACACTCTGTGAGCACTGGGAGAATGGTGTGTCTAAGTGGACCCTAGTAATAAAATATGTCACTTAAAGCTTTGTTAAATGTTTTGCATGACCACAAAACTTCACAGTAAAGAAGATCTGCAACTTTTAAAATCTAAATGTTTCTCTTACCTTTTTTTTTTCACTGCTGCAACCCAAGAGCAAAATTAATTTATCAAGTTTAACATGTGCCGAAGAATTAAATCATTTGTAGAAACAATGGAAATTTGCAGTAGAAACCACAAGTGAATGGCAGGAGAGGAGGAAGTGGGATATGGAAAGACTTGTAGGTATATCTTCTAGGGACGGTATCTCACAGTGCCAACGGGTTGTGCAGATTTATTTGCAGTATGTTGTGTTGTACTAGGCTGCTCGCTTTGCGTGTTGCAGGATTTCTCAGTAGATCATTATAATTTTAAAGAGTTGCATGCGCTCCTTTCAGTTGAGCTGTGTCTAATGGAAACTATTGGTAATCTTGAGAAATTTTTTGGTCTATGCAATCTTCCTCATCACCAGTGTTAATGGAGCTGCCAGTGAATACTGGGGGTTCTGCATGTCTGTCTTATGTGTTTGGTTAGTCCTAACTGCCACCAATAATCTCTAGCTTTGAAATACTCTGTTAATATCCAGATTCTCATTTGAACACTTAGTAAAACCTTTTCTATTTGCTATTTATAAATTAACAATGTCTGTCAGTTATGTGCTTCCCACTTCTCTCCTAGAGCACTCCTAGCCATGGCAGAGAATGCTGGAGTGGAGACTCTGCTTTCTCGGCAGGGGTAGAGGACCTTATTTCTCCAGAAGCCTGCTAATATAGGGCCAAGTACTTGGTCCATTCAGAGGTGTTTTGTTGCAATTATTTTGGTAAATCCTACTGTAGTGATTTGTATTTCCTTCAGCCTTCGCACTAAAGTGCAAAGATTGCAAAAACTTCACTCAGCTAATGGGAATTCATGGCACTGTCCTAAACTTTGTTATAAAGGTATGCAGTATCTTTGCTGTTTCAGCTCCTGTCTAAAGAATCTGCTTTCACACAAATGATGGAACATTGTATCCAAACTTGAGTTATTGTACTAAAATGTTTCTTAGACTAAAGCAGCTAGATGCCCAAAACCTCCATTCACTATCTTGGTCATGCAATAAGTGCGTGCGGTATTAGCATATATTAGTGCCCTGGATTAAATGAGTGACTCTGGAAATTAAATAAGTGCCTTGGCTCTTTATCTCTCTGGTACAAACTTCTCTGCAATTTTGCTGAGGTCACTTTCTCTACTCCCCCTTTCTCCAGCCCCTCAAGCTCACAAATTGTTAATGTAGAAACCAGCAATTGAAATGCTGTAATTCCGTTCTGAATGCTACAGGCTTCACTTCAGCTTAAGGATACATTGATCTGTGTGAACCCCAGACTTGATCCCAGGGATTTCAACTTTGTCACTACACTGCAATGAAGCTGATAATTAGTCTTATTCATGTTGCATGAGAAACCCTTAAAAGAGGATATGCCTCTGACTTAATTTGTTACAGATTTGCATGCGTCCTGTGAACATACCTGACTATTTCTATCTCTAGGATTGACTGGCAATTAACAACAGAGACTTTGGCTACACACTTCTGATAGTTTCCTTGAAGACAGGGATAATTTTTCTGTGCTCAGGGACAATTTTTTCTCTTCAGCTAGCTGTTTGGGAACTGGGCCTGTACAGTGGAATAACTGTGCAGTCAATTTTCTGATGTCTCAGCTTGTAAAGAGCTGTGATAATAGGAAAAACAGAAATAATACAGTGCTACTGGGAAAACTATGGGAGCATGATGGAGAAGCACCGACCGCAGGGAGTCAAACTGATCCATCTGTGCTTATTAGCTCCAGTAAAGTGTCAGTGCTTTAAGACTGGAGCAGAGCTGTTCAGATGTGTCTGCACCATGCTTCCCAGCACTTCTTCAGGCAGCAGTGGATTTCTTCGTATTTTCAAAGGATGAGGAAAAAATTTCTTTGCCCTAATTTCTTTCTTAGGCTTTCACAAAAGAAAATCTCTTTATGTTCTGTTTCCTTGTCAATTGTGTAAGAAACACTGTTGCAGGCTTGGAGACTTAAAGCACTACAGGCTAAATTCTCTGGAGATCAGAAGTGAGCTTTAATTTTTTTTCTTCCATCATACCTCCTTTTTTACAGGAACTTTCTGCAGCGGTCAAGTCTGCTCTGTCGGGTCATCTGGAGTCAGTGATCTTGGGCTTGCTGAAGACACCAGCACAGTATGATGCCTCTGAACTGAAAGCTGCCATGAAGGTAGATGAGCTTTGAAATTTAAATATGTTAGTATGATGTTGCTGTCTCAAGAATGAGTATAGACTTCATATCTAAGGCCAGAGTTTTCAAACATGTCCATTGCTTATTTTTTTTAGTACTACAGTTTAACTATCCAGCTACAAGGCATCCACAATAAGAGAAGTTCTGGAACCATGTCATTATCATTGTCACTTAAATTCTGAATGTTCTTGATCGGGTTAATTTTTAAAAAAATATTTTAAAAAGAAGTATTAAAATATTTCTGTTGACATTCAGAACAAGACAAAAAAACCCAATTAATTAATTTCTCCAGGCTATGAAAAAGGATTTAAAAACTAACCAAGCAAACAAAACCACCCCTTCTACCCACTCCAGCCCCTCAACAACAGCAACAAAAAAAACCTCAAACCAGTATGGAGATGGTAGTTCTTTAATTACGGGCCAGATCCCTTCTTTGAGTAATCAGATGCTGCCCTCTTCTGGTTTAAGTAGAGGATATCCATAGCTTACTGTGAATCAGATTAATTTGGTTTGGGTTTCTTGTTATTGTTTTGGCTTTTTTTAATGTCTGGCATCTGTTATGTTTTATTTAGGATGACCATATACTTATATAGCATTTATGCTCTATGTGCAGCCCAAAGACCAAGCCATTACCTCAGAGTAGCTGCAAATGTGAAATGTTCTGTTTTCTCCGTAGTTCAGCTATTCCTAGCTCCCAACCACATACTCTAATGTTCTGAATTTGCCTGAGCTTAAGTTTGACTTGATACTTAGAGCCTAATAAGCTATGAGATGGGAATCAAAGTTGGGTAAAGCAAAGTTATTATCAAGGAGTTAATTATTTTTCTGGTACACATTCTGATGAAATACTTAAATATTTAGAAAATCTTAAATTTTGTTAGCCTTCACTTTTTCTCCTCATACCTATTAGAACCACCGTGTGGGAAGCTTTCCTAATTCTCTTAGCCATGAGCCACTTCTATAGAACTGCTTGGTCTTAGTCCCACTCCCCCGTAGTTGTTTGTTTTTTTCCTTCAGTAGAAACACTTCTTCCAAGAGGGTAGTTTTCCACATAATTACCTCTGTTTTCCACATGTGAGCAGACTCCTCTTGAAGTCCTGTGGAAACCATGCCCTTTTTTTTCCACGTACAAAATTACATTCTGTCGCAGGTGGGCTTAACAAACAGCATCCTAACAGGAGGCATAAGAGGGGTTTTGGTTTTTTGTGTCTGCTGGTGATGCTGGAAGACAAGGGTTATGAGTTTAGCATGAACATGCTTCATTGGTAGGTGAGAAACAAAACGGAATGAAAAAGTCACCAGTGGAGTCTGTTTTTTAAAAAGTGTTTCTTCAGAATGTTGTGGCATCTGGCTGCCAGATGGCTTTACCAACTAGTGACCCAGAGATACTTAGTGGTGACTGGTAAGAGAAGTATCTTCAGCTCATCCAAATTAGTTTCCTGTTCTGAGCCTGTCATTCAGAGTTTCCTGTCTTTGTCCAGGAGAGTTGAGTATGAATGAATATTGCAGTGTTGCTAGCAATTTTGTAATATTTTTTTTTTAAATTTTGGATGTTTGTATAAAATTATTGAACAAGGTTTAGAGCATGTTGATCAAGCCCCATTATTTTGGATTATCTGAGTTACTGTAAGGTTTAATTGGTAGTTGATACAGTTTGATGTGGTTTGTAACTTTGTTATAGTGCTAATACCTGTATTACTTTTTAAACAGTAGTAACACAGCTTAGTTCAAAGTACTTTGAAAAGTTCAAAGTGGCTTTGAAATATTATATAAGACCTCAATTCATTCAGCTTGTCTAAAAAGTATAAAATCTGAATATTTATTTTATTTCTTAATATAGCTAGTAGTAATACTGTTTCATCTGTATTGGTGAATTTTGAAGTACATAGAAAGTGTGGCCTATTCAAGGGGGGCTATTTATTAGCTATAGAAATTTCAGAACATGCTTACATCTTTGCAAACTTGGAGGCAAGGCCAAGGCTAATGGTGGTGCCATACTTGGCTTTGCATTTATGGTGGAGGAGTTGTATGGGGGGAGGTTGAGAAGAAAAGCAGGGAAGAACAAATTGATTGCTGCCCATTTGCATGCTAACAGTTGAATTTTCTTCCTGTGCCCTCAATGGACAGAAAACAATCACACATAAGCCGTGATAAGTTGATCTCATCCAGTTATGCTGGTGGAGAGGCCACTGAGTGTTACAGACACTCATAGCAACTGCAGATTGCCCAGAAATAATATCCACAGAATATCGAAGTTATTGGGTAGTATTTGGCAACAAAATATGTTCCATCTGGGGTTTCTTGGGTGCAGTTAACAAAAAATGAATGGCTGTGAAACTGATAGAGTGGGGAAAAAGGAGGTGCCTGTAAAATATTTTTTAAACCATTCAAGCATGCCTGTTCATTTGTTCATTTCTAGTACCTAACTGAATCATTTATGTGTTGCAGGGTCTGGGAACTGATGAAGACACACTCATTGAAATCATCTGCTCACGAACAAATCAGGAGCTTAGTGAAATTAACAGAGTCTACAGGGAAAGTAAGTGTACTTTTGACAGTTTCAATATACTATATTTTTACAGTAAGATACTTGGTATGTTGAATTTGGTTATTAGAATTGCTTATAGAACGTCTGCTTTGATTCTCTGGCAGTTGGACATAAGATACTAGTTTGTGCTGATGTCCTGGATGTTTGTGAGTGTTTATATAGTTGCTTGGTAGTAAACAAGTTGCAGCACTTTTAATATTCATGTGAGTTGTGTCTAAATGACATGTTATCTGATTGAAGCTGTAATTCTTAGTTCACTGTAAGTAGATATAAATGATCCATCATCAAAAAATATTTTTCCTTTAACATTCCTTATATGTTTATATTGGCCATTCTGGTTGGGTTTATTGCAATTCAGTAGTGTAGCTGTTTGGTGCCTGTTTGTTTCCCTGAGTTTCAGAGTTGAGCTTCACCACAAATATACTGAAAAGTAGAAAACTGCTCTGTGCTATAGGTGTCAAGCAATTCTGGTAAGGTGCTCACTAAGTCAAAAAAGGACAAGCAAAACTAATGTAGTCTTAATGGATGATATAAAAAAAATGTATCAGCAAAGAGAATGTTACTGCTGTAGATTAGGTTGCTTTTGAAGGGAAGTGAGAATGTGTTTTTGTAGCAGTATAGAGTACGACCACTTGGAAATCAATGAAAATGTTTAGATATTGGATCAGAATAACAGACAGCATTCCTTTGATTTATCCTAAGAACTTTTGTCTTTTGCATTAAACTTGTAATTGCAGTTGTCCAGTCATAAATCCATGAGTGGAGAAGGCCCCAATGCTGTATCAAAGAAGCAAACATTCATGGGTAGCTAAGAATGACCTAAGACGATATTGAGCTTAAAACACTGTTCTCTTCCTTTTAATAGTTTCAGGCTTTCCTGTTGTTTTTCCATGATAGACTTTGATTGCATGGGAACTCGCATGAATAACTGGTAGCAGTGTTGGGTTTTTTTGTATGCAAGCACATTTTCATTGTCTTTCTCATGTGACTTAGATTGTAGCTCTTTGTTTATTGCATAAAACACAGTAATTAGCAGCTGTTCTTGTAAAGGAGTGTTTGTAGCACACCATTTACTTGAAAAGAATTTTTTGCTTTCTAGTGTACAAGACAGAACTGGAAAAGGACATTATATCAGATACATCTGGTGACTTCCGCAAGCTAATGGTTGCCTTGGCCAAGGTAGGTCTGTTCGTATTTTCCCAATATGCCTGCCATTTGGTAACTAACTGATGGCTGCCATTAAAACAGTTGGATTTCTGATTAATTTCTAATTTTCCCTGTATTTTCACTCTTTTGGGAAAAAAAATGTTGAAAGGCAAAGTATTTTGACAGAAATGCATAATTCATAGCAGCAGTTTCATAATGGGGATATGAAACTGTTACTCATTTAGCAAATTCAGATTAAAAAAAATCAAAGAGAAAAAATATGCATATAGCAAACTGCTTACTGTGTATTAAACCCCTTCTAATTACTGCTATCATTGTTTGAAGGGCAAAAGGTGCGAAGATACTTCTGTGATTGATTATGAGCTGATTGACCAAGATGCTAGGGTAAGTGCTGGTAACAGCCATTAAATGTCTTTAAGTTTGGGGAGTGAGAAGCATTTATTTATGAAAGTATATTTCAGATTGTCTTGCACAGTAATGTTTGCATGCTATCAAGGTATCTGCCACTTGCAGTTCCGTTACCTTCAGTTACAGTTTTCACAGGCTAATTATTCACTAGTACCTATACAGAAGCTCTCAGGTATTTCCCTGATATATAAATATATTGAGAAAGAGAGCCTTTAAGAAAAGGAAATACGTCCATTGCAAAGACTGGTTGCAGACAAGTAATTGTGTAAGATCGAGAGAAGTGTCATTGAGCTCAGTGGCTGCTAATGTTTATTTATCTGTATCTGTCAGGAGTAGTTCTGCTGAGGGAAACAGAGCTAAATGTAGAGTAAAACCTGTAGATAGAGGTAGATACAACGTAATAAGTCTTAGGTTAGATCCATAGATCTTATCCAGGTGACCTGCCCAACTATGTGTCCTTCTGCGTTTCTCCCACTGACACAGTAACACTTTTTTTCCAGTATGGAAACTGTATACATTTGTGATGGCTTCTTGTGTAACTCCTCATTTTCATGATTTTGCTTTTCCTTCTAACCTCAGGAGCTCTATGATGCTGGTGTAAAGAGAAAGGGAACTGATGTCCCCAAGTGGATCAACATTATGACTGAAAGAAGTGTCCCCCACCTGCAGAAAGGTACTATTCAAGAAACACATTTATTTTTTTCTCCTACAGGAGAAAATTATATTGAAGTGGTAACTATTTTGTCCCAGATACAAGTGAAATAAGTGTGAAAAGCACTCTTAAAACATAGAGATCTCATAAATCTTAAGTCCAAGCTGCTAATTTTTTTTAAAATAATAAACATATCTGTGGATATGTTAATCTCAGAGTTTGAGGGTGTATAGAGCTCTTTTTCTACACAGGTGTAACAATGCTTAATTATGTCACGTACACTGAGAACTAAAATATTACAAATCTAGAAAACATGGCTACAGGAAACCTTGAGAAGTCCTTTAGCTTTTCCCTCTGTCCTAGAGTAGCTTAGTTACATCACGTGTTTAAATCTGACAGTAAAGACTCTCAAAAGCAGCTCTTGATGGTGCTGTAAGAAGCACATGGGAAAGCCATTGGAAGACTTTTCAGGGCTTAAATCACTTTCAAAAAGTACTAGTACAGGATTAAGGATGTATTTTAGCCAGATTATGAAGGTGTTAAAGGAAAACAAAAAGGCTATAGCATGGGAACTTTGCTATTAGCTGACAAACTTAGGCTGTACTTAAGAAAAAGCTGTCAGAAGGACAGATGTATTTATTTTTTTTAAAACATGTGTCCCTGCATTGCTGTCTCTGTGTTTTTTGATTTGGGTGGTTACTTTTACCAGTTCTTGGTCTGGTTTTGATTTCACCTGTTCGTTTCCTTGTGGTAGTGTTTGACAGGTACAAGAGCTACAGCCCATATGATATGTTGGAGAGCATCAAGAAGGAGGTTAAAGGAGATCTGGAGAATGCCTTTCTTAATCTTGGTGAGTTATACTGAAGTAAAGGCTATCTTTAGATAGGATCTTTTTCATGCCTTTGGAGTGTATCGTGATAAGGATAGGGCCCAGCTTCCTCTGTGTTACTGCACAGGAAATAAACTGGACGTTCTGGCATTATTAGATCCACTAGTGTGGGTGTAAGGGTGTAAGACTGGTGCTGTGGCATGAGAGGAAGATGACAAGCATGTCACCAAGTTAAAGATTAAATTCTTTAAGAGGAAAATCCATTACAGACTAAGAGTGAACTGAGAGCTCTGTAATGCAAATAGGAGATAAACAGAGCTCAGCCTTGAAAGAGAGAGATCTCATGGCTTAGCATACAATGAGTGTTTTCAGGAAAAAGGTTGCTTAAAGAAGTGGAAGAATGCATTGTGGTGTGCGTGGAGTATTCTGAAATGACACTAGCAGTGGAAGGAAGTACTTGCTCACATTGGAAGCATTTGTGGTTCAATCACAAGCATAGCCGAACAACTTCTAAGTAACAACTCGGGTAAAAATAATTTCTGTGTCCACTTTCAGAGAAACTTTTGCTGAAAACCTCATTTTAAATACTTACAATGTCTTTAAAAACAGCTCCAAGATTCCGTGTTCTGCTTTTCCATGTATGGGCAAGATGTTTAACTATTCTTATCTCTTTCTTCAGTCCAGTGCATTCAGAACAAGCAGCTGTATTTTGCGGACAGACTGTATGATTCCATGAAGGTAGGAAAGACTGTTCTTTCTTTCTGCTATTTTTTTTTTCCCCTTGCCGTTTTTTCATCAAACTTTGATTCCTTAAGTGATTTTATTCATGTAATATGTGACTGGCATGTGAATAAATTAACACTAACTTAATATTTTTCAAAAGCATTCTTTAACAGTTACAAGCCTAGACCATCTATTCAGATGCATCTGGTACAGGGAAATATAGGGAAGGTTCTGTATAATAATAATGATCTGCATTAGAGCAGTTGATTATAATTAGCAAAGTTAGACATATCTTTTGCAGGTAACCAAGAGCTGATAGTAGCAAAAGCTGTTTATTGAAGTGCCAAAATAAGACAATAAATTTGCCTCAAAACATTTTCTCAAGAAAAGGATGAAAGAGAAAAGCCTGGTGGCAGGCATTAGGCAATACCAGGAAGATCTGGTCAACCAGATCATAGAATCATAGAATATATTGGAAGGGACCTTTAAAGATCATCTG